GGGGCCAGCCCTTCGGGCAGGAGTAGTGGTTTTAAAGGGCTTTTTTTCTCCCCCATTTGTGGCTTACCAGGTGTTTTCCCAGGGAAACGCAGGGCCCCACAGCGTGTGTTGGCCCTGGTGGCAAGGGCGTCCTTTCTTGGCTGCCTTTCATGGAAGTAATTTGCAGGCCCTGGAGGACTGAAAATCCCCTGAGCTAGATAACACCCTGGAAAAGCGTCCGACAAAACGCGCCGAGGTGGCAAGGGGCAGGCAAGGCCGTTTCTACCGATGGGCATGGTGGCACAGCTGGAGCAGGGGACTCCGGCTCACGCAGGCAGTCGGCAGCGGTGACGAAGTCGGGACCGAACTCTCCAGGGTCCCGCTCCAGCCCCGGCCTCGTCGCTGCCCGAGCACCAAACCGATCAGCAGTTTGTGCGAAGTTAACTGTCCACCGGAGCGTCCGCCCCAGGGCTCGCCTTGCTCACCCGTAGATGCGTTAGCTCTGAGCAAACACTTGCATGTTTGCCCCACAGCCCCATTACCCTGGAGAGAGCTGATCCGCCAAGCTGCGGCGTCCCACCAAAACCTGCGGCCGCCCCATCCCGCTGCCTGGGGAGGTGACAGCAGGGGTTGGGAGCATGGTCTCGCGAGCATACAAACCACTAATTAACCCCCTGAAACTAATAACAGAGCCACAGTAGTCATTGAAAAGTTTATTATGTCCAAACAACATGTTCATTTACAAGCAGGAATTTTTTTTCAGGAATGTACTGTCTGTGAAGCACAAACTCTTACTTTAATAACTGGAGGCCATAGTTGCAAATAACAAATCAAGGCAGACTCTCACAGAGTAAGAAGACAGCGATCTCTGTCTAAATCCTCAAATCCCAGCTAATGCTGGGGACACTGGATTTTTGTTCTGGACAACTATTTTCAGCATGAAAGTGATGGAGTATGAAAACAGCAGGTAACTCCAGCATCCTTTCTTACCTAGCTTCAAGCCCGCCTGACTCGACTTTGCTGAGCAACAACAGGCTGCAAATGAGGGCCCTCCGCAGAGACCTTTGCCAGCTTCTTGCAGTCTTCTCAGCTGAGCTCAGCTCAGCAGTGTTCCTCTTTCACTGCTGAAGGAGCAAGCGAAGGGCTCTGCCAGCATGTAACGCGCTCCTGAGTGGGACTGCACCAGCAGCCGGCTGCTGTGGTCGCTGATATGCTCAGGTAACTACCGAAACATGTTTCTGCTTGCGTGCAAAGCCTGGCCTGCATGCAGAGCCGGTGTCAGGGCGCTGAACCACACGCGCATGGTGATGAGGCTTGAGCACGGCTATGCTGACCCTGGGGATGCTATTAACCTGCCTGGAGCTGAGGCAGAGCAGGAGGCCAAGGAGATAAATGCAGATACAGCTTTATGCCACCTCCTGACCAAAGTTTCAGTGTTAACGGATACCTCTGTGCCACTGCGATGGCATTAGTTGCATGTGGGGAGGCAGGGAAGGAGGATGCCGTACTGCTCCCCAGGGACACCTACAATTTTCATAGACAATTTCTGATTCACTGTTACCACTTCAGTTTAGCATTTACAAACGGTGTGTGTTTTACAGGAACAAGGCAGCTTTGCAACACACGGAGTTTTTCTGACCTGGTAATTCAGGCTATGCTGTTCCTATGGCTCTGGGAAATTGGACTGGGCTATCCCACTGAAAGAAACCCGTCCTTCCAGTAAGACTGACTGTGTTGGCATTATTCTTGGAATAGCTCTCCATTCCTAGTTTTAATTCGCATGTTGCCTTGCTTTGGAATGGCTCCAGGTCAGGACGAATTCTTATGTACATAACAGTCCTCCTTTAGTTCGAATACTGTTGCACATTAGCTGGTTGCTACCAGGGTGTTAGAAACGCTACAGAATGACTAGTAGTCTGTCTCTATTTTAAACGAAGGATTTCAGCTAGAAGCCTCTGCTTCCTGTTGCTATTGTCAGATAACATCTTTTAATTCATTTAGATCTAGAAATTAAAAATCCAATTTGATTTAAATTCTTGTGAGCCAGATCTAGTCACACATGGTAAGAAATATGTGCTTAATCATGTCTTATATCAGATTTTCCATATTGTAGATGTTTCAGCGACAAACTGCATAGCTAGACTGTATTAAAAATACCTAAGAGATAGTTATCTTCACAAGATCCTTCCTCCTCTTTCTGACTAGGTCCATGACTGAGACAAACTAGGCAGGTCTCTACTTACAAGACTGGAAAACACTTGCTATGTATGGGCTGGCATTCTAAAAGCCGAAAAGGAAATGTGCTTTTG